CAAAAAAGTGTGAAAAAAAAAAAAAAAAAAAAAACACAAACAAAAAGTTTTGTTTTAAGTCCCCCGCGTGCAAGCACTTATAAACGTAAATACGCGTCAGGTGCGCCTATGTGCGAAATCAGTGAATGCAACACGTTATAAAATGCTGCGAATGTCGCAGTGAGTGCAATCATTTTAGGGCCATTAATCAATCACTGATAACAGGATTGCCTATGGCCAATTTTTGGGCATAGTAGTTCTGCGATTTCCAGGCTCACAAATTTTATAGCTTGACAGGTTTGGTGTCTATTTACCCTATCTTTACTATTCTATCAAAAAATTGGGTGATACATGTTTTAACATAAATGTAAGGGGAAACAGGTTTTTTTTTTCAGTACTTTTTTCATTATAGTCAAATGTAAAAAAAACCCAGTGGTGATTAAATACCATCAAATAAAAGCTCTGTCCCTAAAAATTGTTTAAATTAATTTCAGAACAGCGTTGCATGACACAATAAAATGTCATCCAAAGTACTGCAGCGCTGAATATTGAAAAATGGCCTGGATAGGAAGGGGGTTTAACACCACGGTCAGCAAGTGTTTAAAATTCAGTTCTTGGCACCACCATGCTATTGCCACTACTAAGCCAAGAAATGGTTCTGACATTCTTCTTCATTCATCATTGATGGTGCTAATGTCTTCGAATAAAACGTTATGCCTAGTTGTAACAGGGGTTTTGCAAAGAAAACCATAAGTTTTAGATGGCAAATAAATTTGCAAAAAAAAAAAAAGGAGGTCATAAATATGCAGGCAACAAGTCAACTTGATTTTCCAAGTAAAAACTTACCTCCAAAGTTTGCATCAAGGTTGGTTTTATTGCATCCTTCATTAGCACAGCCAACGCTCCAGTTATGCCCTGAAAATATGGGACAGTCAGTCAAATAAGTTGCCATCAAGAACATGGAGTTCAAAAACCAATGCCCCCTGACGGTACAATGTAGTTCTAGAATCCTGAAAATTGGTGTGTTGCAACCAAATGGTATGGGAGGTAGCTCAGGGTGCTTCAGCCAGAGGCAGAGCCAGCTGTCAAATCAGGGGTGGACAATATTGTTGGGATCTTTCCTGGCCGCAGCGCAGCTCTGCATGATTATGCAAAGTTTTGGGTCACAGGAGGACATAGTAAATGTCCTCCTGTGACCCTAAAGAGAACTATGGCCAAAAAAGTTTGGGCCATAGTTTAAAGTCTATGGATAAATTCTACCATGTAGTGATCAAAGAAATGCTTTACCAGCAATTTAATTTTTGGACCGGCAGGTTGATTTAGACAAGTCACAGGGGAGTTGCTGTATAAATAAGTAAAGTGTCTGCACTGTCCATATTCTATATGTTATTGCCAACAGCTGACCAACTACTGTTTTAACAAATTATTTACATTTTAACTAAATTATTTGCTCCAGATTTTTGTTAAAAGGTATATTTAAAAACTAGATTTTTTTATAAGGTTTTGGATACAGTAGAGCATAGTTAAAACCCCCCCAGTGAGGATAAATCGCCTTTGACAGTTGTCACCAAAATAGGTGATCCCATTAGAAGATTTTGACTTCTTCCTGTTCAAGTGACCGCAGTAAAATTTTGCTTTCCATCTCCATGCCAGTGCTCAAAAAGCATGGTGAATCACAACCCTGAAACATAGACCGTAATAAAAACCATATCACAGGCTTCAACTCTTCTCTACTATTCTCAAAAGGTAGTGACTTTAGTTATATTTCAAGATTAGAATTAAATAACTGGTAAAATTGATACAAGTGATTTATTTTTTTCTGCAAAGGTGTGCCGTTACATAAACAGGAGTAGACTCTAGAACAGGGGCACCCACAATTTTTTGTTCGGAGATCTACTTTTCAAATGACAAGCTCAATGAGATCTACCAATGAAAAAACACCTGCATTCAGGGGGGAAGGGAGCATGGCGGTGCATTTTTGCAGATCGTACTGTGCCTGCGTTTCGGTCCAGTGCGATCTGCAAAAATGCTGACTTCAATACAACCCCACGCCCCCTCCTGCATGCAGGGAGGTCGGCCGGCTTGCATTCCAGTGCGTTCTAGAGGCGCTGGCATCCTGTCCTTCCGCGGTGCTCGTACGGCCGATGTTGAGAGGTGTTCTGCCCCTTTCCGTCTGCGGCATCTAACACATTCAGCCGGCAGCCACACGAGCACCGCGGGAGCATAGTCATAGGGGGGGGAGGGTGTGTGCTGGAAAATATTAGGGGTCTAAACAGCTCTCTGATATTTCCCATTTAAAATAGAAAAAAAAGAAATTGAGGACACAGTCCTCAATCTTTCTGCAGCCTCTGTTCTAAATGAATTTACCATCATCCAGTTTCTGAACGGGGAGGAGCCTCTCTACTACAGAGTGCTAGTCCCCATTGAGAATCTCATGAATGAACAGGAAGTGATGTAAATCACTTCCTGTTCATTCATAACTGTGGACAGAGTACTATGTGTCCCCAGTTATTTACAGAAAAAGGAAAAAAAATTTCACCAGCACACCGTTTTTGTAAATCAATGATCCATTTTAATGGCACATTGCCATCCGATACAAGCGCTTTCGGGGCCGCCTAAGGGTGAGTGCAATCTATTGGCTAAGGGCTTATCCTTCTGCCCAACTAAATATTTTGATATATTTGGGTTTGAAATATAGACATGTTTAAGTATGAACCTACAATGAAACAAACATTTCAACATGCTTCCCCCTACGGTACGTAGTGGCTTACCCTTTAGGGTAAAAAGCAACTTTGTTCCCACGGGCCAATTTCCCACCATTGAGACAAACGGTCAAATTTGATTTGAAACAGGACAAGTCCTGTACCCGATCATATACCAATATGACCAAATGTGATCGGGAGGCCCTCGAAACCCTACATAAAGATAATACCATCATAATTAAACCCGCAGATAAGGGTGGAGCCATTGTAATAATGAATTATGAGGATTACAGTAATTGCATCAACACCATGTTGGCCAATGCTTCCAGCTATGAGCCCACAACGCATTAAAAAAATGCGTTCAATAGCAAAAGGATTGACATCCTTGGTCAAAATAGGACAGAACCATGGTTGGATCGATGAACAGGTAGCTGCTTTTCTGATCAATGAAAATGCACACACACCGATTTTGTATGGGCTACCCAAAATCCACAAAGGGACTAATCCATTGACATACCGTCCAATAGTGTCGGGCACTGATTCAATTACGCAACCTTTGGCACAATTTGTCGATTTCTTCCTTCAACCCCTGGTCCGCAAGCTCCCCGCTTTTATAAAAGATATAAATGATTTCCTGAGGAGACTGCGTACACATGATACAGTTGGATTACAACATAACACAACACTAGCTACAATGGTTTTAAAAGAGGCTTTTAACATGTGTCAAAAAAAGAGAAAAAAACCCAGAAAATTCAATATTTCTCAAGTCGGCCTTGATTCCCCGCATCCCCCCGCCCTTCAAATGGACCATCAAAGCTATCACCAGAAAAGGACAAGGGGAGAACCAGTTGTGTTATTAACATTCGACTTGGCCCCTGTCCACATTTACCTCCAGGGGCTCACCCTTCCATTCACTCGGTTTTAGTTTTGAGGGTGCGGGGCCTCACAATCTGGATATAGCTACTTTCGCTATATATACACACTTATGGAAAACTTTTTAACGTACAAAAAGGAAAAATACAAAACGGAAAGGAACAGACAGAGGGAAAAAAAAAATTATATAAATAATAAAAAGGCATAAATTATAGTTTCCTGGGTTCTGAGCAGCAGACCCTATATGCTTAAGCTAGGGCTTCGGAAATTATGCTATATGCATTTGAGATCTCTTGGTATTTCAGCCAGGGCTCCCATACTGCTTCAAATTCTGCGTAGCTATCCTGCAAGATGCTATATAATTTCTCATGGATCATGATCCAATTTACTTTAGATAGCACTAGAGAGAATGGAACCTTTTCAGCTTTCCAGGACCGGGCTATTGATATCTTAGCCGCCAGGAAGAAAAAGGATGCGAGTTTGCCCTGCGTTCTGGAGATGTCCGGGATTGGTTTATTTAGTAATACATACTGTGGATTTCTGGGAATATGGACCCCGAGAATCCTTGAAAGCAGGGCAAACAGCCTGTTCCAGAGGGGTCGTAACCCTGGACACAGCCACCAGACATGTAGCATGGTGCCTTTCCATTTACAGCCCCTGAAGCATAACGAAGTAATGCCTAGGCCCATGTTCGCCAATTTTGCTGGTACAAGGTACCATCGAGAGAAAACCTTGTAGTTAGCTTCTAAGAGAGAGACATTTAACCCCTTCGTGACTGACGACGTACAGTGTACGTCGCCAGCATCGGGGCTGTTTAAACAGACTCCCGGCGACTTTCGCCGCCGGGACTCTTGTTTAAACTTGTAGAGCCGACTGTCGGCTTTACAACAGAAGCGATCCTGGCGACTTACCTGTCGCCAGATCGCTTCTGCGTCCCGAAGAAGGGGCCGCCCCCCCCGCCGGACCCCCCCGCCGTGCTTCCCGGGCTCCGTTGCCCCTCCTACGGGCCCGGGAC